GCTGATAGTTACCGGGAAATTGGGAAAACCAAGATGGGAAATAGAGGCTGGTAAAGGCTGGCTTAAATATGCAACCTGTCGAATATTCCCTATATCCCTGGACGACGGGCCCGTGGAAGACTTCGATCCATCGAATAACTAAACCGCTGCTCCCAGAGATCACCTTTGCGTCTACTTCTATTCAATTGCCTGGGTCTTATGTATTTTATCATTTGACTATATATCACAGAAGAAATGCACTCGGCTGAGGCGTGCACTATTAAGCCTATCGATATAGATGCCACTTACAAATTTCTCAAGCTCCAGTGGAAACCATTGCAGCCAATATTGAGTGAATAATTATAATTCAGTATATATATGGCAGGGAGGCAGAGCCTTTGAAAACCCTATTTACAGATAGATGCTGTCAGATCATGCATGCGGTTCAAAGCCATATATACATTATACAAATCATTGTTGTCTACTTAATGTACGACGCGCAAGTTAAGTAAGATCAAGCCTCCTTTTAATTGCGTCGACGCTTTCCTCAAGAACAACTAAGGAAGAGAGTTTATTCCAGTCTTCAATGACCCGTTGGGAGAAGAAGTTGGCCCACACTTTTAGTTTAGCATGGTGTTTCTTCAGTTTGTACGGATGACCGCATAGATGTATCGTTTGTGCGAATTTAAAGAAGTCAGCCATCTGAAGAGCACAGTCTACTCCCCTGACGAGTTTAGACACCCTGACCATATCTCCTCTGTATTGCCTATAATAGAGAGGAAGTGCACAGGAAGTATATTGGCTTCAAATAAGACACTTAAAGAATACTTTTCTAGTCAGCACTGAAAGTTAGAAGTTTCTCAGTTACAGTCTTTTTAACTAATTTGGTGGAACCTCATGGAGCTGTACTTACCCGTAGTATTGTTTTACTTCTCCAACACTTGGGTCATCATGCATTTTAAGTCGGTTAATTACGTGGTGTCATGACAACCGAAGAGCTAAAAGCCGAATATTTCCTTGTTAATGTAACTGGCCAACTTGAAAAAGCGTTGGTTTGTGATTTTTATTTGTTATTTTTAAGTTTCCAGCCTTTGATAACATATGGTGTAAATACTGCTTTTCTTACGGGCGTGACTGGACTATCGTGGCTGTATGCACTCCGTTTGACTATTATATTTATAAACAAAGGGCATTGATGAAGGCATAACGCAAACGTCCGTGAAAAGTTCCTCTGATGAACATGACCTTATTCTGAACTTTCCTATCGAAATATCTTGGAGATCGACTAACCCTTCAGGATGTAATAGACATACGTTTTTATAATATTGTCGTCAGGGCCACAGATAGCCGTACATGCATACGGCGTCGATGCACTCGGAAAAGATGTTGTCCGAGGCTACGGAGCGGTTCATGTGCCAATGCAGCCAGGGAGGTACGTTTAACATTTACTTTACATTTTAACTAATAAATGTATGCTGTGGAATCATAACTGCGTCATGTGCAACGTAGAAATGTTTAAATTTAAAGATTGTTCAAAGTAATCAGAGCGTGGATCAGAAATGGAAAATAAGCTTAAGTACACGAAGATTCCAATGGCAACAACGCACTACTTTTATATGGTACGGCTATGACAATACCTGATCTAGCTGACCTCAATGGTGTCATGTATTGTACCTCACCATACGTGACGATCTGTGACAGCGGGTCTACATAACTTAAATCATCATCTTCACTAACGATTGAAACCGAGTACCGAAAGCCTCATAACTACTTCCACAACTTGACAAATTCTGTCGCGCAAGGTAAAGAGTTGACCTCCTTTTCGATACTCCCAAGTGCAAAGGCCACCTGTTTGAGAGCAGCAATAATAAGCTCATGAGGTAGACGACAAACATTTGTCCGTGTCTTCTTAGTATTTCCTCCTGGATGGCCAATGATATCCTCGTGGTATTGCAGCGAATGTGTAATTGCTCTCTTGGGATCGCGTCAGTATACTTCGCTCGGAGAAGTAGGTTCAATAATTCCCATGTTACTTATGCACAGACCAGTATTCGGCACCATCGATAATGACTGAATGGATGGATGCACGGTACCTACGAACCTTCGTGGTAATGAGTTTGTCACGTCGGATCTATTGAAACTTCCTTAGTCTTGAGAAACCCGTCTATTAACATGGATTTTGAATGTCATCCTTGCTCTGCCCCCTTGGGATCAGCCGCCTCCCAAGTTATTTGAAATTGTCTTTTGGAAGTGGACATTTATTCCTATTGAGACTTGCCCTCTATTGGTCAGGGAAGCAACTCGAAAACATGTTGGTCTTCTCGGCGTTAATGGATAAACCAAAGGATTTTTAATTAATTAATTCACATCTGAATCCGTAGAATTTAGATTATGAACGAGGATATCTTCAGTGTAGTCCAGATCCGCCAGGCGGTGTCCGAGTTAAAACTTAGCATCGTAAGCCTTGCATACGATCTTTCTCAGGATCCAGTTAATAGCGTAGATTGTCAGCATTAGCGACAAGATGCAACCTTTTTGAACGATAGATCGCATATCAAACGGTTGGGACAAATTTTAATGCACCAGAACTCGCGCAATAGTGTGGTGGTAGTAGGCTTTGATCATGGAAATGATATTGACCGACACAGTATATAATTCTATTACCTGTCACATCACTCTCGGAGAAGTCAAGAAACCGGACGGCTATTGATTGTTTATTTAGTTATGATGGCACTTAAAATGCTTTAAGGATATGCCTTGTCCTAAAGTCACGTACAGCTTCAAATGGCCTGAAAGAGGCCAAAGCAAAGACCTTCGGAACAACGACTATAAGGTTTATGTGGTCCTATTTCTTGCACCAGGTCTTATTCCTCTTGTTGAATACAGATAGATAGAGATCCACACCACAGTAATCAAAAACGAACTCATCCCTCTACGCCTGTTTAATTGTCTCATGAAGCCAGGACATCAAGTTCGAGACAAGGCTCATAGATTTTGGTGGACGTGCCGTCCTATCCGGTGCCTTTATTTCATCCTCTATATACTGTTGTGTGACATTCCGTAAGTTGGACAGGGATTAAACTCTGTCGTAGAGGCGAGCGAGTGCGTTGTGCGAAGCCTATCGAAATTGTGGTTCAAGAATTGCTCTCACCTTTTTTCAGTCTTGGTCAGATTGTCAAATTTAATTCGTCTTTTACGTTGCGAAAAGAGTCACTCACTGCTGAAGGCTTACCAGTAACCTGACAGATAATTTGGCAGAAGTTTTTTAAAAGTGCCTGCAACATTTGGAATCTATTTCATTAGGGTCATCAGTTCAGACTAATATTTATTCTGGTCATCGCTAATCACCTCTGATGCCATTTTCCGATGCTAGCTGAAGGAATTATCCTTGAGGGACTTAGTATGTGCCCTTTGAGTAGACAACAGCAAGGTTTTTGCTGCTACGGTCACCGCGGTGCCGCTGAGTGCACCCACACCTTTTAGTCTCCCGATAAGTTGAAAACTTCCCTGAAAACCACCGGATACTACCTCCTCGGCTCGGCTAATGAGAGAAGTTGACAAAGTTTTGCGACAGACAGGCATCTTGCATTAGGTGAGAATTTAGATAAGAGGTGAACTTTAATATGTATGCAAACGAGAACGTTGTCAGACCCATGAGTCTTGCTAATTTCGGCATCGCGCATCGATCTGCTTGAGTGAACTTAAATGCGAGAACTTGAACTTACTAGAATTTAGTCAGTCTGACTGGCCGTATGACCGTCGTCTGAATAGCAAGTCTCCAAATGTTTGTGATGCACGTGCGTGATAGTGATAAACAGTCAGTTCTGATTAGCAGCGTCGCAAAATTTCTCATCGTTGTCGTATCGAGAATGAAGTCCACAATGATCAATACTGGAAGTGTTTGAGGGGTCACCAGGTCCAGTCCGACCATTTCAGTTCCCAGCAATAATCAGCAGATTACGGGGACGGATTATGACAGCTAACATTTGCAGTTGATGGCAGAAAACTCTGCATAAGGCTCTTTGTTAGCTGCTGCTGGTTTATATAAGGAAATGACGGGGATGTTCGTAAAGTGAATCTCCAGGCGTACATTGGCCATCCTGTCCTTGACTGGTTCCAATGCAAATAGTACATGAGTAGTTCTTTGTGAGAGAGCGATCGCCACGTCTGTCAAATAAATTGCGTGGACCGCTGTTTTATAGCGGGAGATGTGAGTTCAATCTAAAATTGACTTGGGAATTCAGACCTTCGATAAGCAACGAATCCCCATACCGTACTTGTTAAGATGTACACTATCAGACATTGGGTAAGTGGGTGCAGTATTGCTCGCACATTCCAGTTTGTTTGCGATTGAGTAGTGCAGTTCGCATAATATTCACCCGTACCATTGGAGTATGATTATGGGGCACGTTATTTCCACAGAGGCGGAAAAGCTGCTATTTAGACTTAATCTTATAATATTCCCAACAGGTTTAGTAGAAAGTAAACTTAAAATCTATGATCTTGTTCTTTTAGTTGCTTTTTATATCTCTTCTCCTTAAGAAGGCCTCTTTCAGGAGGTTAATTTAAAATATATAATTTCTATCCATGTTGTGTTTGGATGAGATTGCGTCTCAGTATGTATTATCTTCAGGCCCATGCAACACATAACAAAATTAACAAAATGGTCGAGTACGGGTGCCTTGAGTAACAAACTGAGTGATGAACTTATATAGCGGAGATACATACACTATCCATCTCTTAAATAGTTTTACTTTTTTTTCCAGATAAAGGAAAATCCATGCCTCAAGTTTATAGTAAACGATTATCCTAACAGAAAACTTGCTCATTCTTCTTTTGAGCATACTGGTTCCAATGCCAAGATCACAAGTTCTGCTAAATTCAAACGAAGACAAGGAGCGCTGGCTGATATGACGTATAATGCAGGAAACCTGATTCAAAGTTACCTATTTGGATTATTAAACATGAAGCTTGTCCCTCTAAACTACATCATAAAACGATTTCTTTAGGCCAATATCAATCGTTCGCTCACATGTAACCCACCAACCGCTTTTAATCTTAATAGTAAAAATACTCGCACTATTTCTATTATAAGCGTCTGAAGCCTCAGAGTTTTTAATTTTGGCAACTTTTAGGCATCGTCGAAGAATTGCTATGTTTACGCCAGAGTCCTCCTCTCAACTTATGGCGTTGAATGCGTGGTTCACTGGCAAACGTCCGGAGTTTGTTAGTCCAAAAGTCGTTACGACTGGCGAGGGGCGCGAAGGTAAGCATACACTTTATACGCTTATAAATAGATAAATGCCAGAGTAATGTTTGCTGTTAGTTCAACATTATTTAAA